AAACATGTAGCTGTGACGAGAGACGGAAGCTGGATCATAGGTAAACCCTAAACCCTAAACCCTAGCGCAGCTCAAGCAACCTCACAATCATCTGGGACTCCGTGTAAACCCTAAACTCTAAACCCTAAACCCTAAACCCTGAACTCGCTTGTCTTATACGAGGGCTTCAGGTTGTTTCGCTACATGTTAAATCATGCGCTGTGCTTGCTTCTGCTGCTGCTGCTGCTGCTGCTGCTGCTGCTGCATTTGCTGCTGCTGCTGCTCCTGCTGTCGTTCGATGTGCTACTTCGTTTGTTGCTGCTGCTGCATTTGTTGCTGCTGCTGCATTTGTTGTTGCTGTTGCTGCTGCTGCTGCTTGTGTTATTTTTACGGTGCTTCTTCTGCTGCTGATTCTCTGCATGTGCTGCTGCTGCTGCTGCTGCTGCATTTGCTTCTGCTGCTGCATATGTTGCTGCTGCTGCTGCTGCTGCGTTTGTTGCTGCTGCAGCAACTTGCTCTCGATATTTGCTGCTGTATCCAGTGCGTTTAGAGGGCAGCAGCAAAACAGGGTTTACATCCCCGTTAGGCGGCTTAAAACCTAAACCCTTGCTGCTGCAGCTACAGATAAAAGATATAACTTTGTTTGATTTACAGTGCTGCGATTTTAAAGCTGCTGTCTTTGATAAAGATGAAAAACATATCGTCACCAGCACCAACAACCTCGTCATCATCTGGGACTTCGTGTAAACCCTAAACCCTAAACCCTAAACCCTAAAACCCTAACTAAACCCTAAACGCTAAAACCCTAAAGCCTAAACCCTAAAGCCTAAACCCTAAAGCCTAAACCCTAACTAAACCATAAACCAGCACTAACAACCTCGTCATCATCTGGGACTTCGTGTAAACCCTAAACCCTAAACCCTAACTAAACCCTAGAGCAGCACAAGCAATATCGTTATTATCTGAGACTTTATGTAAACCCTAAACCCTAAACCCTGAAGCAGCACAAACAGCCTTGTCTCGTGTAAACCCTAAACCCTAACCCTTTCGAATTAGGGTTTGAATCTCAAGAGAGGGATAAATCACAAATCCTGATGGTAAGGGTTTAGGGTTTAGGGTTTAGGGTTTAGGGTTTAGGGTTTATGTTTAGGGCGGTTAAGAACGGCAAGACAGACGCCTATCAGATTAGGCGTATAAGTGATTATATTAAAGACATTGCTTTCTTGCATATGAAAGATAAAGAAGCAGTACTCATGGTGAGGGTTTAGGGTTTAGGGTTTAAGTCCTAGGGTTTAGGGTTTGGGGTGTATGTGCTGATTGGGAGGGGTTTAGGGTTTAGGGTTTGGGGTGTGTATCCTGATGGTGAGGGTTTAGGGTTTATGGTTTGGGGTGTATGTGCTCATGATGAGGGTTTAGGGTTTAGGGTTTAGGGTGTGGGGTGTATATGCAGGTTACTCCTTCTTCAGTTACAACGCGAGGAGTTCGCCGGGCCTATCAAGACTGTGAATCACCAGAAGAAGCATAAAGCAGCAGCAGCAGCTGCTGCTGCTGCTGCTGCTACTGCAGCAAGCAGCAGCTGCTGCTGCTGCTACTGGTGCAGCAGCTGCAGCGGCAGCTACTGTTGCAGCGGCAGCAGTAGCAGCAGCAGCAGCTGCTGCAGGTGCTACTGTAGCTGTTTTTGTTGCAGGAACTGCTGCTACAGCTGCAGCAGCACCAGCAGCTACAGCTGCAGCAGCACCAGCAGCTACAGCTGCAGCAGCAGCAGCAGCTGCTGCTGCTGCAGTGTTGGTCAGTTGGCTTCAGCTGCATCATTCGCTCTTTCTCTCTTTCTTGTAGGGTTTAGGGTTTAGGGTTTAGGGTTTAGGGTTATGTTCCGCCCCAACTTCGAGCCCCGTAAATTTTTTGTGAATACTTTGCCTCCCTCTAGTTGCTGCTGCTGCAGCAGCAGCAGCAGCTGCTGCTGCTGCTGCTGCTGCTGCTGTTGCTGGTACTGCTGTTGCTGGTACTGCTGTTGCTGCTACTGCTGGTGCTGCTGCTTTCATTTGGGGTGTATGCACACCCCTTGTATTTATCTCTTCTATATCTGCCTGTCTCTTCAGCCTCCTCCTAAACCCTAAACCCTAAAAGAGTCTAAACCCTAAACCCTAGAAGAACCTAAACCCTAAACCCTAAACCCTTCAGGAGAAGCAGCAGATTAGTGAAATTAGCTCGGGTGTATCTTCAATTCAGAAAAAACAAAATTAGGGTTTAGGGTTTAGGGTTTTACATGGCTGCAGCGGTTGCGAGACAAACGGCTCCTGCTAGCAGGACAGCAAACGACTGCAGCACTTTCGGATCAAGCAGCAGCAGCAGCTGCTGCAGCAGCTGCTGCTGCTCCTCCTGCTGCTGCTGCTGCTGCTGATGCGGCTGTATAACCGAGTGGAGTAGGGGGTAAACCCTGAGAGGCGCTGACTGCCACAGCAGCAGCGGCTCCTGCTGCAGCTGCTGCTGCTGCTGCTGCAGCATGAGTTGCTGCAGCAACAGCTCTTGCTGCTGCTGCTTTTGCTTTTGCTGCTGCTGCATGCCTCCTATCCTTTTTGCTGCCTCTCCCTCACCACCACCACCAGCAGCAGCAACATCAGCATCAGCATCAGCAGCAGCAGCAGCAGCAGCAGGGACTGTCTGAGCTGAGGGATAAGAGAAGCTAAAGTGCTGCGGCGTGTCTCTGCTAGAAAAGAAGAATGAAAGAGGTTTACTTGTTAATGAAGACCCTTTAATATTATTTGCTGCTTCTTCTACACCCATTGAAGACATTAAAAATGAGTAATCAAAGCTATCAAACAAATCTATAAACGCTGGCAGCAGACGCCCCACACCTAACCTGCTGCTGCTGCTGCTGCTGCTGCTGCTGCGGTTGCTGCGGCGGCGGTGGCGGCGAGGACGCCTCCTGCTGCTGCTGCTGCTGTTGCTGCTGCTGGTGATAGCAGTATGTAATTCATTTCGCTCTGTTTCCTGCTGCTGCTGCAGCATCTGCATAGGTTGCTGCTGCTGCTCTTGCTCAGCAGCAGCAGCAGCAGCAGCAACAGCAGCAAGATCGGAGTTAGCTGCTTGATTAAAGAAGTTAATTACTGAGTAACTCCAACGGTCTATTAATGCAACACCTAAAAAAGAATCGGTAAGAAATGAGTAACTGCTTTGGCCTTTTAATGAAGAAGATATCCTTAAAACTTGCGGTGTATGCACAGCTTGAAGAAGAGTAGCAGCCTGACATGTTTCTGCTATTAGAAGCATATTATAAAAGCGTTTAAGCTGCTGCATTTGCTGCACTGCAGCAGCAAGCTGCTGCTGCAGCAGCAAATCCCAGTCTTTAAACTTTAAGAACTCATCGCCGCCGTGTCCCGCAACAAATACAACGACGTTACTTGCTGCATTTGTTTTTAAGCGTTTATTTTCGGGTGTATAGGCAGCATGTATACCGAGTAAAACTTTTATTAAACTCAATGCTGAGACCTCTTCACCTATATAATCTATGCTTACACCTGACCAGCCTAAGCTTCCGATGCTGCATCCTGATAATAATTCGCCTTCATCTTCTGTCTTCTGCTGCTGCTGCATTTGCTGCTGCTGCTGCTGCTGCTTCATTTGCTGCTGGAGTTTAAATGCACATATATCATGACCACCGAAGAGATTTTGTTCTTTATTGAGGTGCCTATACACCCCAGCAGGAAGAGGGTTTTTAGAGCTGCAGGGGCCGTCATCTGCAGCAATCATCAAAATAATATTATCATCAGATAAACCCTGCTGTTTTAAGGTCGTATAAAAAGAAAGTGCATTTGAGGTGTGCCGATAGTTTAACCAGTGTGACGATGAAGAAACAACAACAGCAAAACGGTTCTTTGCTGCTGTTCCTTTAAAAAAATCTTCTAGCAGCAGCTCATGCTGCTGCTGCTGCTGCTGCTGCTGCTGCTGTTGTTGCTGTTGTTGATGCTGGTGCTGCTGCTGTTGGTGTTGTTCTTGCTGCTCTTGTTCTGGCTGTGTACGTTCATCTTGAAGATACTGCTGCTGCTTATCAACGTGGTGCTGCTGCTGTTGCTGCTGCTGCTGCTGCTGCTGCTGCTGCTGCTGCGGGTGCGGGGCCCATGCTGCAGCAACTTCAGCAGCACATGGGCGATATAGAGCTGACAGCAGCAGCAGCAGCAGCAGCAGCAGATGCTGCTGCTGCTTGTGCTGCTGCTGCTGCTGCCGCATGGCTGGCTGCAGCTCGCTGCTTTATTATATTTGAACTGTATGTACACCTGAAGAGTTAAACCCCTATAATCTGTGTAGAGGCAAAGCGAAAAGAAATAAAATAATAAATTAATTTAATAAACAAAAGACAGAAAAAGACAAAAGAGATGCCCGACAGTATCCAGCGTTTCGGCTGCGCCTGCTGCTGCTGCTGCTCTTGCTGCTGCTGCTGCTCTTGCTGCTGCTGCTGCTGCTGCAGGTGTATATCAACAGCAGCAGCAACAGCAAGAGCAGCAGTATTAACAAGAAAGAAAGGAGATTGTATGAATAATAAGCAGCAAATATATTAAATTAAAAAACAATAAAATAAATAATTTAAGTAAATAAATAAGTAAATAGATAGTAGCAGCAACAGCACATGCATGCATAATGTTTGCTGTTTATCTTTGTGTACATATATATTAATATTATTAATTAACTTCTTTTAAATATAAAACGCATTTAATTTAATTGTTATTTTATTTAATTGCTTAGTTATAAACATCAACAGCTGCCGATACACCTAAAAACTTCTCTGGTGTATACGCAGCTCCGAGAAGATGAAAATGCATGCATAGCTTCATCAAACTTCTTTTTTTAATATTTTTTAGATCATTAACCCAATTCTATATTCATCAGCTAGCTGCAGCTAGCTACAGCTACTAGCAGCTATGGGCAGCTAGCTCCTAGTAGCTATAGCCAGCTGCAGCCAGCTTCTAGTAGGTGTAGCTAGCTGCTAGTACGTGCAGCTAGCTGCTAGTAGCTGTAGCCAGCTGCGGCTAGCTGCTAGTAGCTGTAGCTAGCTGCGGCTAGCTGCTAGTAGCTGTAGCTAGTTGCAGCTAGCTACTCTGTTGAATTGTCTAGCTCAGGTGTACCTGCAGCTCTTTCGGTGTCTCTGGATAAACTCCCCAGTGGCTAGCTAGCTAGCTAGCTAGCTACCTAACTACCTAACTAGCTAGCTACAGCTAGCTGTAGCTGTAATAGGTTGCAGCAGGAGCAGCAGCTGATGCTGCATTGAGGCTGCAGACCATGCACTAGCTCTACGCTAGCTGCTGCTACTTGCTGCTGCTGCTGCTGCTGCTACATTTGCTGCTGCTGCTTCACTTGCTGCTGTTATTACTGGCTATTAACGCGATGACTATGATAGCACAGCAAACTCAAGAAGAAATAAATTAAATTAAAAGGGAGCAGCAAAAGACAACGTGTGCGTACACCCGAAGAGTCTGCTGCTGCTGCAATTAGAGAACGAGCCAAGCAAGCTGCTGCTGCTGCAGCTGCTGCTGCAGCTGCTGCTGCAGCAGTCTCTTTCTCTGATGCATGTAAGGCAAACCCCATAGCAGTGTATATATACACCGCAAAAAAGCAAATGCTCCTGCTGCTGCTGCTGCTGCTGCTGACACACACCACTAGCTAGCTAGCTAGCTAGCTAGCTAGCTAGCTAGCTAGCTAGCTAGGGGCTGCTGCTGCTGCTGCTAATGTTTTGCTGCTGCTGCTGAAGCAACGTGCTGCAGCAGCATCTCCCCCCTGCTGTCTTTGCAGCAGCAGCAGCAGAACAAACAAAACAAAATGCAGCAACAGCAGCAGCAGCAAAAACAAAACAAAATGCAGCAGCAAAAGAAGTTGTTAGGTATCGAAATAAATAAATAAATTAATTAATAATAAATAAATAAATAAATAAATAAATAATATATAATAATAATATTTAACATAATAAGAAGTAATGCTGAATATTATTATTATTATTATTTATATAATATAAATTGTATATAATATATAATATATATAATATAAATATATATATAAATATATAAATAAATAAATATATATATTATATATTATATATTATATACATCTTCTCATTATCATTGTTTATTTTATTTGTGTTTATTTATTTTATTCAGCTGTCTTTGTTTATTTTATTTTATTAATTTATTTTATTAATTTATTTTATTTATTTTGTTTGCTCTCTCTCTTTGCTCTTCTTCTCTGTCTCTTTATTATATATTTAATTATATATTTATATATTCAAGTATATATTTATATATTTAACTATATATATATTATATATATACATATACATATGTATATTTATTATATATATACATATACATATGTATATATATTATATATATACATATACATATAAATATATATATATATACATATATATACAATTATGTATATATAATATATATA